GATTCTCTGACTCCCTCTCTTGACACAGGCAGGAGGCTGGGGTGGCCTGGGATGCTCAGCACCCGGAATCCTGGTTTTGCCACTTCTGGGATGCTTTGCTGGGTGGCCTCATGCTTCAGATGTAAAGCTCAAATTCCTCCAGGGGTTTTGTGTCAGCAAGGACTGACTGGGGAGTGGGGGGCAGGATCTGGATGGGATGGGGGAGCAGTGTCCAGGGATGTCCAACCCCAGACTCATCCCTGGGCTTGCACCCCAAAGCCCACTTCATGTACAGAGGGGGTGAAGAGAAGAACTAGAGACACCTTGTTTTGCCTGGAAAAATGACATTTTGACACCAGTAGCAGGCAGAGATCAGCCAGAGCCTCAGGCTCCTTCCCCCGCTGTGCTGAATGCAGAATGAGCCCAGCATGGGGGGGCAGCTTGTTTGCATCCCCAGCTTACCCTGGGGCACCCTCATGTCTTTGGGGTGGCAGTCCCATGGAGACTGACTATAGGCACACCAAAAAGAAAGGTAGTCAGGAACCAGCAGCTTCCTGAGGGGAAAATCATAGCAAAGAGAAGTCCAATCAATGCACATTTCAAGGTGAGTTGCTCCAAAAATCTCTATACAGATATAAAAATATAAAGTAAACCCACATAAAATATAAATATGTACAACACTAATGTAAATTTTTAAATATGTACAATATACAAACAATAAAATATTAATGTGCTGTGATATTAATATATTAAAATGTTAGAGTATTAAAATACTGAAATATTGAAATGCTGCACGTTATGGCAATTATGTTACATGCCAGCATACAATTAAAGGCCAAAATTGCCATTTCCCAGCTAAGACTCGGGTTGTGAAGCGTTATCCTCACGGATGGAGCAGTTGGGAAGGGGGCATCCCCATCCCAAACCTGGGCTGTCTCCTCCAAGGGCTCAGCTTTCCAGGTCTTTGTCCCTGGGGATGAGGAAGGAGATGGCAAAGGGAAGTGCTGGTGAGGAGCCCTCACAGGTCACAGGTCTCCTGCTCCCAGCATTGACCAACACTGAGATCCAGAGGCAGTATCCTGTCCCATCTTCCCCAGGGCTCCTCCGAGCTGCATCCTCCATTTCCACCCATACAAATGAATATAGGCAATATTAGTTTGTTTCATCTGTTTTCAATGCACATATCTGTAGAATCTATTGAGTATACTTCTGGGGTTTTTTAATTTACCACGATGCTAAATGAGCATTTCGCCTCTCTCTCTGGTATTTCAATTTTACATTACTGGCTTGCAGGTGCTGTATTATACTGGAGAAGATTGAAGTAAAAAGATTTAAAAAAACCTTTTTAAAAAAATAGAAGGGGTTTCTGAGCAGAGGAGTGCCTGGATGAGTCTTGGGTCACCCAGGGAGCGCAGGTTGCAGGTGGTTTATAATATTTCTGTGGTCCCCGGCTTGTATTTGGGTTTTTTCATCCATAAAGAGTACGAAGCTTAGCTCCCCCTGCCCCCTTTTTTTCCTGTTGCAGCCTCAAGTGACTAAATCTGTTGGCAGAATGTGGGGAGAAGCAGTCTGACACCCAAATAGCATCTCCCAGCATAATTTATTTTTTTTTTTATAAATTGTGCTTTTCCTGGCAAGAAAGTAATGAATGAGTTTTAAGCATGACCATAAATGCAATGTTTCGCGATGTCATTCGCAGAATACATTTATTTTAGGTGCCCTCCACCCTTTCCACCATCTCCCTCCGGTTTATTTTAACAATGCTGTAATTTTCTATTATAAAATGGGATTTTTCTCGTTAACTCCATGTCGTCTGCTCAGCTTTTGCATGTGTGTGTGTGTGTGCGTGCGTGCACTGGTGACATTTGTCACCATCAGATGCTATTTTTATGCCTGTTATTATTGAGGACCCCACCCTTGGCTTGGGGAGGGGAAGGGGGGAGTGCAGGAGGATGGAGAGGAGGGAGGGGGAGGAAGGAAAACGTCAGGCTCAGCACACTTCCAGCCTCTGGCCATCAACCTCCCCGGGGGCATGGGAACCATAAGGTCATTTCTCAAGCTCACTGAGCTCCAGAGCTGTCAAACCACCCTGCGAGTTTAAAAAATGCAAATGTATGCAAATGAGCGGGCTGCTTCTCTCTCTCTGCCTCTCCCCCCCCCCCCCCCGTTTAAATGACATGAATCACCTTCAATTTTGCCAGCATCCTGTAAAGTTATGGGCTTGCCTAAGCACTGTGGTTAACAGAACCACTTCTCAAGAGGACCAGGAAGGGAAAAGAAAGGAAAACCAATCAATTTCCATCAAAAGCAACATCATTTTTTATATATTATATATATATAAAATGTATATAAATATATATAAATGACATACCCCCTCGATCTCCCAATTCAATTTTTTCTTGCTGTGTAGTGAACAATTCACTGATTAGGGATAATGAAGCTTAGTGCTCAGAAAAAACCCTCTATAAAAACATTTCTCAAGATAGTCTAATATTCTGATTTTCTGATCTTTGGCACTTGGGGTGAACTGGCAGTAAAAGATCAAAATAGGCTTGTAGGAAGACATGTTCCTTCATGCAAGGAGCTCCTTTAACACTAATGCTCCTTCCAAACAAAAGTAAATGAGTAGAAGATGAAAACAGCAATAGCAATTTAATTGTTCATGCTTATTATTCGGGATACAAAGCCCTAAAAAAGGAAGTTGTCTTTTCCTCCCTGGCTCAGGGGTTGTTTATTTATTATCTCACACTCCACTTGGAGAACACATTGGATTTGCTGTCATTTATCGGCGATTTTCAAGGGGGATTTGATATGGGGTTGGTGGGGCTGTAGAGGAGTGTAGCTGGTTAATGTGGTTAAGCACAGCACACTGTAATGAATCAATTTGTTTCAGACAACAGAGGTAATTAGTGTGGAGATAATGGGCACACCACGGGACACGGGGCTGGAACATCCTCCTTCGACCAAAAGTGCCGGTGGCTGGGGCTGAAGGGGCTCCGGGAGCTGTAATTCCTGGTTCCTCCCCCAACTCTGGGCATAGGGAGGTGGCTGCAGAGGGCTTCCCATGGTGCCAGCCCCCTGGGAGGCTTCACTGGTCAGGGTCAGCTGTGCCTGCTCCCCGTGTGGCTCCCACCAGGCTTGTGGTCCATCACCTGTCCCCAGGTGTGCTCCGTCTGGGTTGCACCATCTTCCCAAGGCCTTTGCTCACTGGCTCCCACATGCGAGTTTTTGGCAGTGCTGGTTAGGTATGGGGGAGACATCTGCGAGTTCTCAGCTGGAGCATGGCCCTGCAGAGGGAGGAGAAGGGAGACAGCATTCCTTTTCCCACGGGAATGTTCGCTGCTGAGTCTGATCCCCTCTAGGGGCCCCTCGGGCTTCGCCAAGGGTCGCTGGCTTCCTGGACAAGGTGAAGTGTGGATTTTTGTGGACAACCTCCATCAGGCCAGGCTCTTTCCACCCCTGAGGGCTGGTGGCAGGTGAGAAGGTGGGAGCCAGCCCCTCACCATGAGGTAGTCCAGGTCCCACAGCTGGTGGGAAGGAGGTTTGGAGTGAGTGCAGCCAGACCCTGAGCAGGGAGGGACACCCAGGACACAGCAATAGATCCTGGGAGAGATGCCGAGGTGGTGTGGGGTGGAATCGGGAACCTGACAGCGGTGCAGAGGGTGGGATTGGGAACATGATGGTCTCAGCTGTGTGAAAGGGGGCGGAGGGGGGCTGTAGTTTCACTTGCAGGTACCCTGAGTTCTCTTGGGGATGAACTGCTTGGCTATGAACTGGGTGTCTACCTGCAGCAGGGCCACGAGCTGGGGCTGGTAGAGGTGACACTGCTTGAACACATGCTCTGTGTCCTGGGGGTTTCAAAAGGGTTAGTGTATTCAAAGTTATTCTGTCTGTTTGATGTATTCTGTGTGTGAGGGGATTAATGTATTCGTCACCTGCTGGAGGAAATCACTCTCCTTTCCTGGGATTTCTCATGTGCAAGGGCTGCTGGAGCCATGTGAAAGAGGAAACATCTTACAGATTAAAAAATGGCAAAAAGAAATCAGGTTTTCCTCTTGGGTGTGAGCTTTTTGCTTCCGAGTTTTCCTTTGAAGCTAAAACTGCTCTAGCAGGGGAAGATGTCTGCCAGATGCACAGGGCATTTGATACCATGCTGACAAGTCCAAGCAGGACTGGGAATGAAGCAAGCTCAGCTCATGGGAGAAGATGGCAGACAGCAATCTGTGTCTGGCCAGGTCCTTGCTCCCTCTTTTTCTTCCTCTGAGCATTTAGGTACACCGTGACATAAATCCTTGCTTGCCTCCCCTCTCCCAGATCCCTCAGCAAGACATTCCTGTGTGGGTTGTCCACATGCTGAGGTGACGTGGGATAAATTCCAGGCATGAAGTAGCAGTAGTGGATACCTGCTTGTCCATTAGGATCACTCTCCTACTGCAGCAAGTAGCCATGACCCTCCTATTTGGGACATCCAGTTATACCAGTCCCAAGAACAATGGTGTAGATGGGATGGGCACTCCCTGGCTCTCCTTATTTAAGCTGTGTGGGTGCTGGGACTTGGCAGTGTGAAGCAATACAGCATCACACTTTCCCCACATAGCTCCTGGCAGGGCAAATCCAACATGTGCCTGGAACAATGTTGTCTCTGGGAGGACGTAGAAGAAACCTGACGGGAGGGAGTCATTGCACAAGGTTCCTGGGGGAGGGATGTGAAAGAGAAGAGGGAACTTGTGGTGGTTATGAAAAGGTGAATGGAGTGGGAATCGAGTAGAGGAGGATGGAGACAAAGGAGGAGATGAAAAGATGTGGAGGGAAGCAGAGGTTAGATCACAGAGGACCTGGAAGGAGTTGAAGGTGGCATGGAGACACAGTGGGGCCGTGCAAGTGGGAGGTGATTACAAGGGTTCAAGTGAGGTGGGGGAGAGAAGGACACCAAGACAAGGCAGCATCATTTTGACATCACTGATTGGGAATCCTCTGCTAACACTCTGCTGCCTGTGCTTTGTCCTAGGGCACTAAATGAGAATATGGCCAATGGCATTGAAGATCTTATCGGGATCCCATTCCCGAACCACAGCAGCGAGGTGTTGTGTGGTCTGAACGAGCAGCGGCACGACGGGCTCCTCTGCGATGTCATCCTCATCGTGCAGGACCAGGAGTACCGCACCCACCGCTCCGTCCTGGCTGCCTGCAGCAAGTACTTCAAAAAACTCTTCACTACCGGCACTTTAACAGACCAGCCCTATGTTTACGAGATTGACTTTGTCAAGCCTGAAGCACTTTCTGCCATCCTCGAGTTCGCCTACACCTCAACGCTCACCATCACCACCTCAAACGTCAAGCACATCCTCAGCGCTGCCAAGATGCTGGAGATCCAGAGCATTATCAATGTATGCCTTGAAATCATGGAGCCCGACAGAGAGGCCGAAGAGGAAGATGACAAAGAGGACGAAGATGATGACGAAGATGAAGACGAAGATGAGGAGGAAGAGGAGGAGGAGGAAGTGGAAGATTTCGTCAATCAGGAGAATCTAACCGATGTACAAGAAGTAAGCTGCCACCAAAGCCCTTCTGAGTCTGATCTTACCGAAGAAGCATATCCAGAAGCACCTAAAGATTTTCCAAATCACTTCCCAGCCAGTAACTCCTCTGGACACCTGGGCATGATACGAGACTTCTCCATCGAGTCCTTGTTAAGTGAAAACCTGTACCCTAAGGCAAACATCCCGGAAAGAAGGCCAGCTCTCTCTCCCTTCACCCCCAGCTTCTTCCCCCATCTATGGAACGGAGACTTTAGCTCCTTCTCCCAGCTGGAGGAACCACAAGTAGACAACGGCCCCTTGGATCTGGTGATCAAAAAGAGGAAGATCAAGGAAGAGGAAGAGAAGGAAGACCTGCCTCCGCCTCCTTTCCCTAATGACTTCTTCAAGGACATGTTTGCCAACACCGCAGCAGCTCCCTTAGGGCATATTAAGGCAGAGACTGACTATAGCGCTTATCTGAATTTCTTAAGCGCTACCCAGTTCGGAGGAGTTTTTCCTCCATGGCCCCTGGAGGAAGAGAGGAAAATAAAGCCCAAGGCATCCCAGCAGTGCCCCATCTGCAACAAAGTCATCATGGGAGCCGGCAAGCTGCCCAGGCACATGAGGACCCACACGGGGGAGAAGCCCTATATGTGCAATATCTGTGAAGTTCGCTTTACCAGGTGTGCATTGGGTACCTCTGCCATGCGTGGGAAGGGGGATGGTGGTGGTTGGAGGGGCCGTGTCATGACCCGTGACTGATTCCTGAGCTACACTTTTCTTTTTCACCCCATAAAAAAAGTAGGAAAGAAAGCAGAGCACGAGCTCTATCCTTTCAGAAAAAAAAAAAAAAAAAAAAAGAGAAAAAAAAATGGAGTAAGGGAGGAGAGTGAGGAGGGTGGAGGAAGAAAAATGAACCTACTGATTTTTGTGGGTTGTGGATGACATCCACAACTCACTGGATCCATCCCCTCACTGGACAAAAGCTTAAATAAGTAACAGGATATTTTCAACCCCACAATAGTTCACCACAGTGGGACCAGAGTGAGCTGGAAAACAGATGGTCAAACAGCCAAGGAAGCTTCATCTCTAGTGTGCTGGGAGATGCATTGAGTTGGGAGGGCCATTTAGCCACAGGATGTAATTAGTTTGGGTTTGCACATTTTGGCACCAGTGTAGACCACAACCAAGTTGCACATGTTTACATGACAGTATCTGGGTTTTCTGAGGCTGGAACAGTCCTAATTATTATATGTTACAGTGCGGTGGGGGTCAGTCTCTTCTCCAGAATAACAGGCAACAGGACAAGGGGAAACTGCCTCAGGTTGCACGAGGGGAGATTTAGATTGGATACTGGGAAAAATTTCATCATAGAAGGGGTTGTCAAGCATTGGCACAGGCTGCCCAGGGCAGTGGTGGAGTCTCCATCCCTGAGGGGATTTAAAAAATGTGTTGTTGGGGCACCTGGGGACATGGCTTGGTGGATTTGGTAGTACTGGGGGAACAGTTAGACTCATAGAATCCCAGAATGGTTTGGGTTGGAAGGCACCTTAAAGACCATCTTGTTCCAACCCCCCTGCCATGGGCAGGGACACCTTCCACTAGACCAGGTTTATCAGAGTCCCGTCCAACCTGGCCTTGGACACTCGCAGGGATGGGGCAGCCACAGCTTCTCTGGGCAGCAATTGGAGCAGGCTATACAAATCTAATGCTCCAGCTTGAAACCCTTCCCTGCAAAGCTGGGCAAATTTAATCGGCGAGCAGAGACAAATAGATTCCTGGACCTGCTTTTGCTGAGTATAATTAATATCTAATGAGGACAATCTTTACCATAATAATAAAGCTTTCTGACAAGAGCATGGTATTTCAGCTCCTGGCTGCGTGTGAGAGACAGAGCCCTATTAAGCTGGGGCGGGAAAACCAGAGGAAAATAATCTGCGCAGTAGGCAGAGGCGAGCTCCTGACAATGGCCAGACACCTGGGGTGCTCCTGCATTCAGCCTGCCTTTTCTTCTCCTGTCCTATGATAATATTCGAATGGAAGATATGCAGATGATGAGGATTTGACCTGAAAATAAATTTCCATGCTCCCCTCCATTAACGCAGCAGACACCGCATTATGATGCGGGGAGCATCATGCCTCGGGCGGGCACATGCGACGAGAACCTGGCTCACCCTGCTATTTTTAGGGGAAGGGCCACTGCACGGTGATAATTCCTGCCTGCAGGAATTCGGATCAGGCTCCTGCTGGTGCTTCATCCCCAGGTTAGCGCTGGGTTGTTGCTTCCAGACAGGTGGTTCACCCCGGTGGTTGTGGTGGCATCCCAGGCTGGAGGGACCACCTGGCCAGCCCGTGTTACTCTCCTGCATGTGGTGCTGATTGCTGATGAGGAGATAGCTTGGCTTGACCCATCACTGACACCTTCCCTATAAGGGACATAATAGGACCAAGCCCTTCCAGAGGGCTCCCAAAGTCCTTTACGTGCAAGGGCAGCATCATTTGGCTTAGTTTGGGGAAACTGAGGCACAGAGAAATGCTGGTACTGGCTCACTTTGAAGGTTAGTAGGAGGGTTCAGGTGAGAGTTCAGGCAGCTTAAATCAGCATCATGGAGGTTAAAAGCTCCATTCAGAGCTGGTCTAGCATGGCCCACTGCTAACACAGGGTGAAACCCAACAGCTTTGACATCCCCCATATGCTCTACAGCTTCTAAATACAGACCACAGGGGTAGTGGGACTTTAACCCAGCAAAAAAACGACAAAATTGGGACTGCCCCAGTGGTGCAATCTCCCATCATCACTGATGAAAACGAAGTTGTTCGTGTGGGTCACCTGACACTGAGCTGAGCGCAGGAGGGGTTTTTCCTTCTCTAACACCCTGAGCAAAGTGGAAATCTCAAAACATTGGTTTGTTTTTAAATGCGTTTGGAAGGATTTTGAATAGCAAAAAGCTATTTGGTTTTGTTTGAGGTGGGTTTTTTTAGCCATTTGCAGCATTGCTCTGATGTGAGAACTCTCCTTTAGGAAAAAGTGTGTTTTTAAGCAAAGTGGAGTGATTGAGATGTAGGAAGAGATTTCTGTCGGGACTTCCTCAATGCTGCCACTTACATTAGTGTTTTGCTCTCAGGGGGGAATCTCGTGCTTCCTGAAAGCATCAGACTTGTGCCCCACAGTGCCTTCACTGGGGAGATGCAAGCCCAGATGGTTCCTTTTGGGGTCCCCTGGGAATGAGGTGCAGGGAAGCAGAGGTTCCCAAATGGGATTTCTGAGTGAATCAGTCCTTTGTGTTATTTCTGCGTTTTAAAAAATTGTGTAGGAGCAAATCTACTGGGGAAAATAGAGAAAATATATTTTCCTGGGTGGGGAGTCCGCCAACCTCCCCATCAGATCCCTTCCCCTCCACATCAGTAGGATGTGAGGACCCCCCATGCACCTGGATGTGCCACTCCCGCCGCCCAGGGACATCTGATCTCAGGAAGCAGGACTTCATTTAATAGCTCATTAATTTTTTTCCTTAAACAAAGGCTGCTCAGCCTCTAGTCTGCTGTTTCACCCTGCTAGAACGCTGGAGAAAACTGCAAATATTTCAGCTTTTCCACCAAGACAGCCCCAGAGTGCTCAAGGAGAAACTGTTCCAGCCGGAAAGGTTAACATTATTTGTTCCTATTATTTGTGTTGTGACAGCTCGCAGAGCCCTAATCGCTCTCCTAATGCAATTGCATTAAGGTTATTCACACACACGGAGTGTGGATCTCCGTTGGAGAGCCTGCGAGCCCAGCTCCCGGCTCACAAACCCTGTGTCCCCAACGCCACATCCTCCCCGGGGTGCTCCACCACAACCGGAGCATCCCACCCCGCCCCCAGCCTCTGAGCTGATCCAGGTAGAGCCATAAACCTTCTCTTACATCCCCCCGGGGCGTGGGGGGATTGAGTTTCTCCCTGTCTGCTGCCGGAGATGGGAAACAGCCTGAAAAGAGCTTTGCCTGTGTTTACATTATGCAGTCCTGGCACGCGGCGTGTTTATTAGGAAAAGCGATCCCGCTAGGTTAAACTTTACATATAGAGGTTTAAATTAAATTATAGGTGGGGCTGGTGGCTCTGCTTTTTATTAACGCTTCCCACCACCTCGCAGTACGAGCCCCCTGCCTTCATCCGTGTGTGCGAGTTCGCCACGTTTTATCTGCTCGGGGTGAAATTTTTCCGTGCTGCTTTGTCTTCTGCTGAACCCTTTCGGGGGAAATGCACCCTTGTGAAAATTCTTGGGAAAACAGCAGCTTTAAAAATGTCAGAGTGGGAAGTCGGGGTCTGGCCCTGAGCTTGGCGCAGGGACCGGGAGATACTTTTTTTTTCCTGTCTCCCTAAAAATCTGTAGGTGCAGGACCAGGCTGGGACCAGTTTCCCAAAGTCAGTAAAGCATCATCTGGTGAAGAAGTGGCTCTCCTCCTAGGGATACTTCTCTGTATCCTTGATCCTGAGGGATTGGTGTACAGGGGTGGCCAGACCAGGGCTGCACTCCTCATGGACTGGCTGACACCAGTGTGCTGCCAGGCATGTCACCAAAAACTTCTTCAGTGTGCACACAGGCAGGGTGGCAAAAATTAGTGCAAAGGTAGCACCTTGCATGTTTTGAGGGCTTGACCTGGCAGAATAAATGCATTTTTTTCAGGGGTGGTTTTTGTATTACATAAATCAAAATATCATAACATGTACTTATGTATTATATAATTTATAATGCAATTATATTTTTGAACCATAATAAATAGTATTATATACTGTTTAATATTTATCTAAAATATATAATAGTTTTATATGAGATAATGACATGACTCCATGTGTTCTACATACAGCCCCAGTATTAGCACTCTGGAAGGTTCATACCAAAAAGCATTTTGTAAAACAATATGAATTTTCACACTTTGCTCTTTACTTGAACTCCACTGGTGCAACCTAGCTGAGCAGTGCTCAGCTCAGTTCAGCTACAGACAGCTTTAGAGTTTTATAATCACATGCTTTAGCTGTGATTTTTTTTTTGACTGCAGAAGGAAACATTTATTGCGGGGGGAGGAAATAGTGATTGGACTGCCAGTGTGAGAAAATATTCTTGCTTTTAGATATTTGCCTTAAAAATATATATATATATATATATATTTGTAAATAAGTGCCATTTGGATGGATATTATGCTGTTCCAAGGCTGGATTTAAAAACCTTCTCCATACTGTTGAGTGAGGCTGGATGTATGATGGCCTTGGAGACCATGGCAGCGAAGGATTGAGTGCCTGGGAGCTGCACCTCTGCCAGCACCACCCTCTGTGATGCTCCTGCTCCAAATGAAAGCCTCCTGAGACACCGTGTGGTCAGTGCAAGGATAAAATGAAAGGAATATCCAAGAGGGTCTTAAATTAAGCAGTATTTTCAGCCCACGGTGCCAGACTCTTGAATCTGAACAAATTTCTTTACTTGCAAGCAGGAATAGGGCTGTGCTAAATTAGCTATTCCCTTATTTAGATATACATAGATAGATATATTCCCATGTTTAGATACTCGCCCTCTGTAACTCTGACAGGAGGGTGGAGCCAAGTGAGGGTCAGGCTCTGCTCCCCAAGGAAGGGGAAATGGCCTCAGGTTGCACCAGAGGAGGTTTAGATTGGATACTATGGAAAATTTCTTCACTGAAAGGGTTGTCCATCCCTGGCACAGGCTGCCCAGGGCAGTGGTGGAGTCCCCATCCCTGGAGGGATTTAAAAGCCCTGTGGATGTGGCACCTGGGGACAAGGGTGAGTGGTGGCCTTGGCAGTGCTGGGGGAATGGTTGGACTTGATGATCTTAGGGGTCTTCTCCAGCCTTAATGATGCTATGTTTCCCTGGTTTTGGAGTTTATTCCAGAGGGTTTTTTTCCTCCAATTTAAGCTGGTTTTGATCTCTCTGGGATGGGCTGCAAACTCCTGACATGTGTGTGTGTGATGTTTAGGTGCCCAGGAAAGAGAAGGCAAATGCAGAGGTCAACCTGCAAGAGCATCCACACACTGGGGGAAGCCCCAAGACAGGCTTCCCACCTTTCCTCTCCTGACCCAAAGAGCAAATCCAACCCCACCCCTTCCAGCCCACGCCGCCCTGACCAAGTGCCTTTTTGTCCTCTCGCAGGCAGGACAAGCTCAAGATCCACATGCGGAAGCACACGGGGGAGCGGCCGTACCTGTGCATCCACTGCAACGCCAAGTTCGTGCACAACTACGACCTGAAGAACCACATGCGCATCCACACGGGCATCCGGCCCTACCAGTGCGAGTTCTGCTACAAGAGCTTCACCCGCTCCGACCACCTGCACCGCCACATCAAGCGGCAGAGCTGCCGGATTGCGCGGCCCCGGCGCGGCCGCAAGCCGGCGGCGTGGCGGGCGGCCGGCCTGCTCTTCGCCCCCGGCAGCCCGCCCGTGGAGAGCGGCTTCGTGATGCCGCCCACGCTGGAGGAGATGAGCGGCCACCTCGGCAGCACGGCCATGTGCCTTCCCGGCCCCAGCCCCAAGCACTTCTTGAGCGGGGCCAAGGCCTCCTTCAGCCTGCAGGAGCTGGAGAGCCAGTTCGAGGAGACCCAGAGGAAGCTCTTCAGGCGGGCCCAGATGGACATGGAGAGGAACGCGGGGATCTTCGCCTTCGCCCTGGGCCACAATGAAAACCTCGCTGCCCAGCCCTTCTTCCCGCTCCCCGACCCTTGGAGCACAGGCTTCAGTGGCCTGGCAGGGCTGGGCCACGTGGCTCCCATCTCAGAGGCAAGCAACTAAACCTGCTCCCGGTCCCACCATGCGCCTGCTCTCTTCCCAGCAAGGCAGCCAGCTCCCTCGGGGCCCCCACCTGCCCTTTTGCGTCACTGGACTCCCAATAAACTCTTTGTCCCCTTGCTGACATGGGGCTTGGGGCACTGGGTTGTCCCTGGGGAGAGTAAGGAGTGGGTAGGTGCTGTGCCCCCTGGCCACTGGCACTTTAGACTCTGGATGCACTTGGCTTTGGGGCCATCAGGCACTCGCTGTCCCACCCAGCCACCCACCACTCATGGCTCCATCTGGGAAGGCCAGGCCAGGACTGCTGCTCTCTTCAACACTCCCGAAAATGTCACTTGCCTTAGTCCAGGGCACAGCCATCACTTTGAGATGGCTCTTCTGGGGGAAATACTCCCCATTTTCCACCTGCAGAGCCCACTGGACACCAACAAGCCGTCCAGACTTGGTTTTGTTCTGTTACATTCCTTGGCCCTTTTGGTCAAAAGGACTTTTCTCTTTTTGATTTTTTTTGGTATTCTTTTTTTGATTTTGTTTTTGTTTGTTTCTTTGGTTCTATTTGGATTTTTTTGTTTTTTAATTAATTCCCATGTCTGGCAGCAATATTTATCCTACAAGGGATAAAGGGGAGGGTCAAGCAGCCATGTTGGGAGAGGGAGGATCCTGGCCTTTGACTTTCTCAGCAGTATATCGGATTTATAGGGCTGGTGAAAGCCCTTGATCTGCAGCATGAGTTGGGACCCTAAAAACATGAAAAAAAAAAAAAAAAGGAGATAAAAAATCACCCAGCTGCAAAGCTGGGTGTAAAAGGGGGATTTACTTATTTTGGTTCTTTAGCTATTTCAAAATTTCAAAAGGAGAACCAAAGCCTATTTTGAGTATTTTAACTTCAGTTGTTTGAAAAGGTGAAGGAAAAGTTTTGGAAGAATCAGAAATGTTTCAATATTGAGCTTTCATTAAACCCTTGCTTTGCGAAAATGAACCACGTGGGAATTTCGAAATGAAAAAGTCGTTTCAAACCAAAGAGTCAGAATTCGCCGCCACTGACCATTCTGAAAAGTCTGGGGTTCTGTCCTTAGTTCCCTTGAATTCCTATATATATATATTTTGATGACAAAAAATTACAAAACACACTCATGTGTGTTGATGGGAAAAAATTGAGTGTGGAAATATCCCTGCTGCTTGTCTCAAGGGATCTTTGTGAAAAAGAAGTTCACTAAAGGTGTCTTGGTGGTTATATTGTCTACTTGCCAGCAAGCAGAAATGCTATTTCCTCACTCTTTGTTAGCTCAAAAGATAAGAGGGTAACATATTTAGGGTGCTCCAAGCTGAAGGTGACCAACAGGTTTGGGGTGTCTCCCTAGCATCCCTGCAGACCCCATCTTGGCTACTCCATCTAAGGGTTCTTTTGAGGCCAAAAGAGCAGCAGATTGGCTGGAATTGCCCTGTCAGCCTCCTTCAGCTCTGGAACCATGAGCTACTCTGATGGATAAAGGGTTTTGGTGAACATCTGCCTCCCATGGCTCCTCTTAGATGAGCCATGGGAGGGAGATGTGGTGGGACCCCAGTTTCAGCATTGGCTGACATGTCTTGCAGTGAGCGTCCCAGGAAGCTGGTTTTACATGAAACCGGCACTTGAATATGTAAATGGTACAAACTGGGGCTTTTTTATTTCTCTTTTTACTGTTACCTTTCAACGTCAGCAAAATCAAAGGGAATGAGAGGACCGCGGGTTCGTGAATTTTTTGGTTTGTCCATCAGTGAAGTGGTGGCTGGATGAGAACCTCCCCACCAGAGCATGGAGGGGGACACACGGGATCTGGGTTCTGCCCCCATGAGGGTTTGAAGGACTTCTGCTCTGAGACCACCCGTAGCAGAATGATCCCAAGGAACTGCCCAGCACTCGCTTCCTCCTCCACAAAAGAAATCCACAGAGACTCCACGTGCAACGAAAGTCAACGGAGAGAAAAAGAGAAGAAGAAAAAAAAAATCTTCTTAAAACTGCAACAAACTTTTTCTTTTTAATCCATATCAAGTTCTTACAACAAGCAACATTTTGCAGATGACTGGTTCCTTCAGGTGTTTTTTTGTCTACTATTCGGAGTCATTGTAAAATATCCAAAGATGCTGAGTACTGTATAATCTGCAAGGACTTGAAGCAAGGTGTTTTTTCTGTCTCGGTTTGTTTGTTAGGTTGGTTGGGTTCTTTTTTTCTTTTTTTTTTTTTTTTTCCTATTTGTCTAAGTGGGGATAAACCTTTGCAATTTTTCTATTTATAACTATTTTTATGTGATTGCTTTATGTACAAAACAACGGAAAAAAATCAAAACAAAAAAGTAGAGAGAAACACACACGCATACACACACACACACACACAGACAAAGAAATTTGCCTTAGTTACTCACGGGACAATCACCCTTAACTTTGATCGATGCTAAAAAGTGGATGGGAAAAAAAAAAAAAAAGAGAGACTAGATTCTTTTATGTATTTATTAAACTGTATTAATTGATGCTTTTAAATTATTAGCAGGACTTGATTCTCTTGCCTGTGGCCACGATGAGAAGGCAAAGCCGCTGCAGTTGCTGACCCGCGTGGCCTCAGCTTTTCGGATGTTTGCCCGGCACACAGATCTGTGCTTTCCAAAGGCACCTTTTGGAAAGCCGAAACAATCACTTCTGAATGAAGCATCGAGCTGGTACGGGCTCCACCCCGAGGGGCCGTGGGCGTTGTGATGCTGGTGATGATTGCGGAGTTAAGGTTGATTTTCCCGCGTTGGCGCTGGGTTGGGTAGGGTTGGAGGGACCTGAGTGCTGGCAGTGATTGTGTTTTGGGGGGGAGAGGGAGGATTAGAGAAAACCCTATTTCTTCCCATCTTGATGTTGTGTGGTGAGTCCAGGCCACAGGTATCCACATGTGAGCCCAGCTAAGCGTGGAGGTTGCCTTCCTGGGGCTCTGCTTCCTTTTCACAGCCAGGATGGGTGTGCTGAACAGCAGCTTTGGGCTGGAGGGTCTCGGGGCTCTGTCCCAGCTCAAGGTGTGGTGGCTTCTTATTCATCTCACCAGGCTCCAGAGGCCTGGCTGCAGCAGGGACTGATGACCAGTGGACTGATCCCACAGCATGGGCAGCAGGGGAGGGGGGGATTCTGCCCCTCTGCCCCCTCAGGTGAGATCCCACTGCAGAGCTGCCTCCAGCCCTGGGGAACAACATCAGAAGGTCCTGGAGCTGCTGGAGTGAGTCCAGAGGAGGCCACAGAGATGCTCCAAGGGCTGGATCCCCTCTGCTCTGGAGCCAGGCTGGGAGAACTGGGGGTGTTCACCTGCAGAAGAGAAAGCTCCAGGGAAACCTGAGAGCCCCTTCCAGTGCCTAAAGGGGGTTTAGAAGAAAGATTGGGACAAACTTTTTTAGCAGGACTGTTGCAATAGAACAAGGGGAAATGGTTTTAAACTGAAAGAGGGGAGATTCAGACCAGATAGAAATTTTTTACGATGAGGGTGGCAGAACACTGGAACAAGTTGCCCAGAGAGTTGGTGACTGCCCCATCACTGGAAATATTGAGAACAAGGTTGGATGGGGCTTGGAGCAACCTGTTTTAGTGGAAGGTGTCCCTGCCCATGGCAGGGAATTGAACTAGATGACCTTTCAAGGTCCCTTCCAACCCAAATCCTTTAATGATTCTGTGATTCTGTGAGCACAGCTGATGCAAACATGAGCCCTATAATTCATGTGACCACTCAGGAGTTGCAGAATTTCCTTGCTATTTTCTGAAGGAGGTGCAAAAGCTGGGAAAATAAGTGCCAGGTAGGAATGGTGGGACTAATCCCACGTCACTCACCCATTTGGAAGTGAAGTAACAAGTACCCTGTGCATATTGAGACACCTACGTGTTGACACTTTTTAGTTTTGGATGTCCTAACCTGCAACGTGATCTCCAGCCTTCCTCTGGAGCTGTCCTGACTCTGGAGGGAGGCAGGTACTGAGGGAGGGTGATTCACTCCACCCACGCTGGACCTCCCAAGGGTGGGATGAATCACCTTTGACAGCACCTGTCTCTGCTACCTACCAGGGTGCTTTCCTTTCCCATAGCTCCATGAGATAAGGGTTGTTCCCATCACCACAGCGCCCTCCTCTCTGCTCAGCTGATGGGGCAGCCTCTGAAAAAACATTTCCCAAGAGGACGGGATGCTGGCACAGCCCAGGGACCCAGGTCAGTCAGCTTGATTTCTCCCCAGTCTGTTTTAACTGGGAACGCAGTGGTAAAAAAGGATCCAAGCCCATCCTCCCAAGCCTGGGGACCAGGGATTCAGGCCCATGGGTTGTACACCCTGCTGCAATCCCAGTAAAAAACATCTCAAGTTCTTACAGCCACAGGTTATTTTCCTTCCTTCACACTCCTGAGAAGGACCCCACAGCATCAGATGCTCAGGCAGGGGTCCAGATCTGCAGGCAGAATCCAAAAACATGTCTTGAGAAGACGGAAATGTCAATCCCCCTCCCAGGGCAGGTGGTTGGTCATTGAGCATCTCACCTGTGCTTGGAGTCTGCATGACCACGGCAGGGTCATCCCAGAAATAGTGTGTTTCTGAGCATAAAAAAAAATTACAAAATTAGATTAATGACTTTTTAGCTATTTAAATATACTTTTTTTTCCCAAATCTTGCACCTTTTGACCCCATTTTATGCTCATATTCTGGTTTGCTTATAAAGCCAAAATAGCAACAAAGCAAAAAACCAAACCAAACCAAACCAAACAAAAAAATAGAGGGAGATTTGCAAGGGGGAGAGTGAAAAATCTGAAAATTGCTCGGAGGAGCTGTGAGTTAATCAGACACATGGGAATCACAGAAAGGAACCAGCTCCAGTAAATGCTTGTTAGCAGCAACATATGGCCACACGCTTGCCCCTGAACAGCTGCTGTTATCTGCTGGAGCATCCAGGCCGTGGAGGGGGAACCAGTGCAGGGGGTGATGCTGCACATGCAGTGTTTGCTTGCACCAGGGTTTGCTGCCAAAGGAGCATCTCCTGAGTGCAAGTGGCAGGGAGCTGGATGGGCAGCTCCTTGCCGTTGGCTCAAGACCCTTTGCTGAGTGTTGCAAAAGCCTCTTCCTGCAGGAGAAATTGCATACAAAAAAAAAAAAATTAAATGTATTTTAAAAAGGAAAGAGCAAGCCTGCAGTTCGGGGGAGTGAGAGGCTTTTCCATCTGCCAATCACCTGCAGAAAAAAAAAAATAAAAGGAGAGCCTAAAATGTTTTATACTCGAATATGTGGCCCTCAGCAGGACTCCCAGTGACACCAGTGGTGCTAAAAATGCTGCCCCATCTCTGCTCTGTTTGTGCTCTGCCTGCAGCCCCCTGGGACCTGCAATACCCTCCCATCCTTTCCCACCTATTTTGGAGATTAGTGCTTTGTTTGCAGTCTCAGTGCCCTGAAGCTGAAGGATTTTGTGGTTGCAGAGGAAAGTTTTAAGATAAGTGAGTAAATGAAGCAAGACCCCCAAACCATCTCCGTTCTAAGAAGACGTTGTGTTTGGCAGCAGGTCACCCACAGCTGGGTTTTAGGGTCTGCCTTTTGGTGCCTCTGACAGTGTGCACCTCCTTGGTCTGCGCCTGAGTTTCTTTCCAAGCCAAAAATAAAAAGGGAAGAAAAGAGTGAAAAACCCCTTCTTGTGGAAACCCCACATAGTCCGAGCCCAACTGAACTGAGCTCCTTCCCACCTCCCAGCCCCACCTTTGGGATCTCCTCCAGAAGGAGAGAAAATACCTGTGGCTTGGAAATACCTATTTTTTTTCCTTGTTTTCCTGTGTTGAACTGATGTTTTACATGACTTGCACTATTTGCTGTAGGGCAGGATACTGTTAGGTTTCTTTGTTTCAGTCTCTTGTTTGGTTGCGACTCCTCTTGGCTAAGAAAACAGCGGTCCTGTACACGTACCTGCTGCACATCTTACACCCTGGAGAAAATAAACTGTTACCTGAAGCACCGAGTGGCTCGTGTGTCCTTAACGCTGCTGTGGGGCTGCGGAAGTTACAGCACCAGGTTAATGTTTGGACTTGATGATCTGTGAGGTCTTTTCCAACCCAAAAGATTCTGTGATCAAATGACGGTGGGTGATAGACCGTTTTGTGGTGGCCCCCCTGGGTGACCCTTCATGTGGCATCTGGGCTGTCACCACAGGGGTGCATGGGCTGAGGAGCAGCCCCTGGTGATGCCCCCAACCCCGGCATGAAATACTGTGCTGGGAAAAAAAAATAATATTTAAGTACAATTGGGGTTTTTTTTCCCCCGAGGTCTGTGCACCTGCTTTGTGCAGCTCCCGGCAACTCAAACTTGGACTGCCCTCGTGTGGTGGCCTGGTGGCAGCTCTGCCGCTGAAGCGATGCTGGGGACTTAGAAATTACACAGATCACACGTGAGCTGGAAAGGACCCACAAGGATCGTCGAATCCATCTCTTACGTGAATGGCCCGAAGGGATCGAACCCACAACGTTGGTGTTATCAGCACCATGACATTAGAGGGTTGGTACCCACACCTGGAGCTGTTTTGGGGTCTCAGTTGCCCCAGGGCATGCACGATCCCCAACCACCTCTCATCACCCCTAGCCACATCTGCCTGCCAGGCAGAGGAGATACAAACTTCAGCCACATCCAGAGGGAGTTTAATGGATGGACTCGATGACCTTGAGGGTCTTTTCCAACCTAAATATTTCTATGATTGTAAGAATTTTTTACCCTTAGTTAACCACAACCAAATAATTAGGCCAGTGAGGCTGGGAACGTGCCACAGCTATTGGTGGCCTCATGAGAACCTTGATTTTTTTGGAGATTATTCAGGTAAGCCAGGACTGGACCCTCTGATGCCCAGTGTGGCCTCAGCTGATATTTCCTGCTTCCCCTCATGGTACCACTAATAATTTTGCCCAGTTCGGTCAAGTAGAGATGACAAATATAAATCTCATGCAATTATATAAAGCTCATTTCCTTAGGAATTGAGGCTAGAAACCATAAAAGCAAATAATCAAAGAAGAAGCCAAACAGCAGTGCCAAGCTGCAACCCCCAAAGTTTTGCTTTATTTCTTTCTTTCTGCAGAGATGACACTGACTGAGATGTCACAAATCCGATCAGGCTTCCTAATAGTTCATGCAGTGCCTCGAGCCTCAGGGGTCATCTGAAATTCAGGCAGCCAATTTGCAGGCAGGAGATGCAAAGCCAAACCAGGCAGGGGCTGAGGTTTTAAGGACAGACCCTGTCTGTCAGCTAAAACTCTCCTCTGCTCTTGGGTAACCTCCGGCAAATCCTCGTAGGGAACCTGCCTGTCTTTAAGGTGTAGCTGTTAACTCAGTTTCCATAGCAAACAGGACAGGGTTGTCTCGGTGGGACCAACTTCTGCAACGTTATCTGGAGTTTTTGCATTGTTTGGGAAATATTTAAGGCTTCACCCCTGAGTTCTCAGAAACGGGGTTCTCATATAAGCAGCTTTTATGGGATGTTTTTGGAGGATTTTGGATGATATATTCTTTGAAAAATCAGCTGGAAATACCAAGTTCTCACAAACTTTCTGAGACGTGGTCCTTGGATCAGAAGTGAAGGTGAGCAGCAATTTGTTCTGAGTGTTGCTGCAGGGCTGAAAGAGCCAGGCTGTGACACACCAAGATTTAAAGACAGGAGCTGGATGAGTAGAGCGAAGAGTGAGTGGAAGCTCTGTGGGAGGGGGAAGAAAATCTCCCACGAGGAGACAGTGAGGTTGCACCTCCAGTGCTGTATCCAGTTCTGGGCCCCTCAGACAAGAGAGAGATTGAGGGGCTGGGGCGTGTGCAGGGAAGGGAACAGAACTGGGGAAGGGTCTGGAGCAGCAGGAGCGTCTGAGGGAGCTGGGGGGGCTCATCCTGGAGAAAAGGAGGCTCAGGGGGGACCTTCTGGCTCTGCAACACCCTGACAGGAGGGGGAAGCCAGGTGGGGGTCAGGCTCTGCTCCCAAGTGACAAGAGAAAATAGCACAAGTCATGCCAGGTTTAGGTTGGATATGAGGGAAAAACTCTCAGTGGAAAGGGTTGTCCAGCCGTGGCACAGCTGCCCAGGGCAGTGGTGGAATTCTCATCCCTGGAGGGACTTAAAGCCATGTGGATATGGCAC